GGCCATTTTCCCACACCTCCAACTGCATACTGTCCTCAGCACATTCTAAGTCAAGAACTCAGAAGTCATCCAATAGAAGTAAATGTGATATTTCACATCTCCACACAGGATTTTAGAAAGTATCCATCATATAAAAGGCATTCAAAAATTAAGTTTTGAGTTGTTGGAGTACAACTTACCACCAGCTAAGATCCCCTTCCTCTGGCTGATTCCTGGGTTCCTATGGTGTGTAAGTGGAGCACTTGGCTCTTATCAAAGACTTAAGAAAACACAAAGAGGAACAAGAAACCTGGAACCAATGAGGTGGCAGAAATTTGATGTTTCTTAAGAGATCCAGAAGCTATGCAATTGCGATGCTATTGGAGTCATTTTATTTTATTGTTTTAAATGTGTGGAGGTTTTGCCTGTATGTCTGTGCACCCACTACACACATGCCTGGTGTCCTTAGAGGCCAAAGAAAGTATTGGATCCTTTGGAACTGGAATTATAGGCAGCTGTTAGCTGGAAATTGAACCTGGGTCCTCTGGAAGAGCAGCCAGGGCTCTAATTACTAAGCCTTCTCTCTTCCCGAAGTGGAGTTCTTAGAAACATGGAAGTGTAAATGTTCTCCCACTGCTGATCTGAGGAACACATGATTCAGGCATCTGTGGACATTCAGAGTTCTGGTCCTTTGTATCTCCTGATCTGAAGTTAGACAGTTGTGAACAGTCTGACATGGGCTGTGATAACCAAAGTAAGGTCTTACACAAGAGCTGTACTTGTTCTTAACCACTGTGACATCCCTCCGTTATTCTTTAAAACAAAAGATGGTGTGTTGACAGATGGCTCTGAGACTCAGAGCACTGAATGCTCTTAAGAAGAACTCGAGTTGGATTTCCAACATCCACATGGCCACTCACACCATCTGTCACTCCAGTTCCTTGGGATTCAATGTCCTCTTCTGGCCTCTGCAGGTACCAGACACAAACATGATGCACAGTCGTACATGTATAGTGAGAAATCAACCCCACTTGAACCTGTTGCACTGACCACACCCATTGGGGTGTGGGGACTGGTGCAGGGCATAACCTGTGTGGACTAGGTCTGTGGTCCCAGACTCCAGCTTGCTCTCTTCCTGGTCAGAGACAGAGAGCATCCAGAGGCATCCTTGGAATGGGAGCCTGCAGTGGTCATCTGTTTCTGGTGTAAGTAATTTCTCTCTGAATAAACATCCATCAGACAATATTTTGCCCTGGAATCTTATTTCCCATGCTTTATACATGCAGGCAAAGCATTCGTTCATTTAAAAATAAATAAGTCTGCTTTTAAAACACAAATGGGAGTATCTGGGTGTCTCAGTGGCTAAGAACACTTGTGGCTGTTCCAGGAGACCAAATCTCATTTCTCAGTACCTAAATCAAACACATCACCAGCACATACTCCATACTCCAGATCCAGGGAGATTAGACATCTCCTCTTGCCTCTATTGGCTCAGGAACATACACATATGAAGACTGAGATGATAACCAAACACAATCTTGCCTCTCTGCTTATTACAAGAGTTCCAACAGCACATGTGTGGGTTCCTTTCCACACCAAGAACTCTCCATTCTCTGTGGACACTAACTGGGTGACACAACAATTCAGTTCTTTCCTAATTCAGATGTAAAGAGAGATGGCATAGACACTACCGTAGTGAAGGAAATTTTAAAAACAACCGCCTGGTCACATCCTTTCTGTATGTGCCATTGTGGCTCTGCCTTGTCTCTGTCTCTCCCCATGTTCCCACCAACCTCTCTTACTCCCACATTTTGAAAACAGGTTCCCATGTATCACACTAAGTAAACAAATGAACACCCTATCCTCCTTTCTCCACCTCCCAAATGCTGGAATTAGAATCATGTACTATCACACCCAGTTTAGGCAGGACTTCCTGCAGACTAAGCCGTCCCTCTGCTAACTGATCTATACCCCCCAGTCGATGGCCATCTTCTTTAATGCACTGTGGGAACTAGGGAGACTGGAGGCAGGAATCCCTGTACTAAAGCAGAATGGGTTAGTTTACTAAGGCTGTCACTACAAAGCACCCACATACTGGGTATCTTAAAGCATAGCAACTGGTTTTGTCACAGTTGTGGATGCTGGAGACCCAAGCTCATGATGTTGGTCCTGGGGCTTCTCTTCGGCTCGCAGATAGCCAATTTCTCCTCTCTGTGTCCTTGCAGAGACATCTCTATAAGCTTACACAGCCCTTGTGTTTCTTCTTAAAAGGTCACCACTTATATTGGATTAGGGCCCCATCCTTATGACTTTACTTAGTTTTAATTAGTTCTTTAAATGCCCTAACTTTGAATAGTCTCACTCTGTATGGAATGGGAATTTGGGTATTAACTTGAGATTGAAGAAGACACCAGTTCATGACAGAAAACAGGATTAATCTACGAATTGATGAGAGAAAATTCTAGAGGTAAGCCTAAAGGGATAAATGATCCTAAGAAATGCCTGCAGTTCAAAAGCAAGGTCTGAGCTGCAGACAGTGGGAAGTGGTGTCATGGAAATGTCTACACAGAAAGCCTGTCAGGAGATAAGAATGTTTTCTAAGATGTAGATAATATTTATGACACTGGAATCTGTGCTGCGTGCTCTGCATCAGTTGTCTTGTCTGTTGTACTGAAATAAAAATTCTTTTTGTAACTACTATGACTCTGAATTCACAGGTGAAGTTACTGAACCTCCTAAATCATGGTCACATCCAGCCAACACCTGATTGTTTGTTGTTGCAGTCTATAAGAGCATCAAGTGCTCTTAATCATTTAGCCCTCTTCTCCAGTCCCACCAACACTAGTTTCTGCACAGCCTGAAAACCAGGAATAGTTTTCTTGTTTGTTTTTCTGCCTAAAGAGCATCAGAAGAATAAAATATGGTGTGTGAAGTGATGTGAAATCCAATTGCTGTGTTCTTAGATGATGTACTGTTGGGCATATTATCTGTGTTTCACGATATAAGGTTGAACTGAGGAATCATGAAGCCTACCAGGTATTAAATACTGACTTTCTCTCCTTTGATAGAAAATGTTCATCCCTGGTTAAATGGCTTGTCTGTTTGCCTAACTAATGACAAACCTAGTCCAGGTTCTGAGAACCTTCACTGTTCCCAATGTGAGTTGCCAGCAGTCTATTTTCTGACAGAATAATTTGCCATCTCAAGCAGATTACTCCAACCCAGCACAGCTCACAGCCATTTCCTTTGGGTTTACCTAGATTGTGTAAATGGGGCCCACAAAGCAGAAGTCTGCCCTGGGACTTTCCTGAATTTCTTTACCCTCTAAACTCTACCCTACACACACATGCCTCTGCATTCTCACAGGTGCTGTGTGGTAATCACTAGCCTATGATTACCACACAGCATCCTGTGCCTCAAGTCAGAGGTGTGGTGGACTGTGGAGGAGCAGGTAGGGAACTCCCATCAAACCATCTGCAAGGAGAGCCATCAGACTTCAAAGACCTGACACTAGTTACCCTCTACCCTTTCTTGTTTTCTCTTGGGATCTGAATCCTTCACTGTGTAAAATGATGCCCTTTACAGCTCAGTTCCTTGTGAGTTGGTATAACTTCATTTTTATGCTTTATCAATTGTGTAGCAGTGTTTTTCCTACTGAGACACTGTGGAGAGAAGATCCTTAAAGTTTGAGGAAGTTAAAACTTGAAACATTTCCCCCTAGGAAAACATGTTTCAGGGAAAGCAGAAACTTACAAAATATTTAGACCCCTCTACAAGGTTAAGGAAGCAGTAAACAAATGTTTTAAAGAAGAGAGGAGCTCAAGTTGCCTGGAGGAGGCTCTCAGATTAAGGAGCTTATCTGTGGAAGATTTTCCAACATAATGAATTGCCTGTAAGTTCTTCAGAAAGCTGCAGGTTTGCTGTTTCTTCACTGTCATTCAGACTAAGGTGGGATTTTTTGGTGACGCAACAGTCTCTGAGTCACACTGGTTCCTGTAAGTAAACCCTCAGGCACATATACTCTGTTAGTGTCCCCCATTGAGCTCACTGGTTTGCCAACTTGGATTCAGCATGTTCGTTGCTTTTCTTTGTCCCCAATGTCCTGTCTGGGGTGGATAGACATTTTTTGATGCCCTTCCAGGAAGTCAACACCTTCCTTCCTTGGAAACATTCTAAAAGGTGTCTGTTATGAATGACCACAAAGATGAGTTGGCAGAAGTGTGGGCAATTATGGTATTGGCCTTGGCAATTGTGACCAAGTGTAGAATGTTTGATCCTCACTGATTGTCTGAATTATTCAGTTATCTTCTTCTCTCTGGGTCTCTTGTTTCTCTTTCTTTTCCTCCACCTCTGCCTTTCACTGTTTTCCTTATGCTGAGAAGGCTCCTGAAAACCCAGGGCCCTTCACCTCTGATATAGATAAGATTGGACCTCTATACCCCACCAAAGATGAAGCAGGGAGAGGATTTTAGGCTCTTGAGTTTCTAGAAGGATCCAGTTCAATCACCAAATGCTTTTTTTAAAAATGTGATTTGGATATTATTTCAGGGACAATGCAAATCACGGGAAGTCCTAGTTTCCTGTTTCCTGTTTCCCAATTCATTTCTGCTCTGTTACCCCGCCCCCATCCACTTACATATTTTCTGTTGAGGCCATTGGAGACAGGCCACTCTCTCCAGGACATCAGAATTAGAGCTTTCCAGAAGAAGGCCCACAGCTGTTGGAAAGTAAAGGTGGGAAAACTTTCCCTCAGGGTCTGCACAACTTGGTGAGGTTGCAATCAGCAGATTGGTGGCAGAATAGAGTTTGGTCTGTATAACAGAGGGCTGGGGATACGATTTCGTGGCTAGACTGCTTACCTAACAAGCACAAAGCCTGGCTTTTATCTCTAATACACAGTGGCACACTCTTGCAATCTCAACATCAGAGTTGGAGAGACAAGAGAAGCAGAGGTCTGTTATTCTTGGCTAAGTTCAGGGTCAGCCTGGAGTATATGAGAGCCTGTCTAAAGAGAAAAGTAAAGAAAAGAAAGAAAGGAAGGAAGGAAGGAAGAGAAAAGTAAAAGAATAAATAAAGCTCAGTCGTGGGAAAATATAAGATAAAGAAGTGAATACAGAAATATATAACACTTTTTCAGGATTTACTGCAAAGAAAGTCAAAGGCATGGTTGAGAATTAAAAGGGGATATGGAAGTGAATAATAACTTGTATTAAAGATGCAATGCTCTAGAGCATATTGATGTGTTCATCATTGGGAGGAATCAAGAAAAAGTGTTAAATGTGTACTAGTCAGGGATAGCACTCCTGGAAAAAAAAGTAGGTTGTGAAGGATTTGTGGGGTGAGCAAAGGGAAAGTCTTAGACTGAGATACTTGTCTTCTGGTCATAGATATAAGGCCAGAGAAGGCCCTTTAGGAGTGTGGAGGGCTGTGGCTGTACTAGAACATGAAGACAGGCATGGGCTGTGTTTGAGTGGATGGAGAAAATTCTCAAAGCTTTAAGCAAAATACAGAAGGAATGACATTGTTCTTACAAGTCATAGTCAATTTGAGGAAAAGGGCCAATGTGAGGGTAGTGATGAGCCTGCAAGCAGAGAGGTCCCACATGCTTCATGGATTCTTGTTGCAGAATTTGTCTCTGCTTACTCCAGAACTGCTAATTTTGGTTGTTTTCCTATTTATTCAGGTTTAACTTTTATGATGATGTGGTGCAGTGATTGACAGGTTTAAAGGCCACTCTAAATGGTGGCTAACAACATTCCTATTCAACTCAAACCACATTCTTCCTCCTCTAACCACAGGTGGGGCCATATCTCATTGTTCTTCTGCTGTTGCATGTTCTGGCCTGTCACTGAAAAAGCTTCCTTGTTCATTTTGTAAACTTTTTAACCATTGCCTCAGAGATTCTTGAGAACAAACAGCCTCAGCCCAGCTTGGTGGTTGGTAGTTGGTGGAAGGTAGGGAAAGAAGAGTCACTTGCAAATTGTTTCTGATACTGTAAAGCATAATGTGAGCTACAGATCTGATTTTAGGCTGTCCTGTGGGTGCTTTAAAGAAATAGAGAGAATGGCAGGGGTGAGGTTACAGCTCAGCAGGAAAAGCATGTGTCTAGCATACCATACAAGCCCTGGATTTAAAACCCAGTGTCACCTAAATTGAGTATTGTGCATACCTGCAATCCCAGAATTTTAAAGTTAGAGGAAGACAAGAAGTTTAAGTCTATCTTTTGCAAGTGTGGGATTCATGAAATCGTATCTTTAAATTCAAAAACAAAACAGAGGAAGAAGAGAAGGAGAGTAGAAGGAAAGGGACAACTGTCTGGGCTTGATAGCACATATCTGTAGTCCTACCACTCGCGAAGCAGAGGCAAGAGGACTGTTATAAGTTCAAGGATAGCCTATTCTTCACAGAATGTTCCAGGCCAATCAGGGACACAAAGGAACTTATATGGACTAGGAGGAGGGGAAGAAAGAGGTGGGAAATGGAGGAGGGAGCAGAAGGGAGGAGATGGGAATGAATTTCTAATTCACTATTTGATGGGGGGAATGTCCTTCTGTATATATCTTTCTCTTATTGGCTAATGAATAAAACACTGTTTGGCTAGTGGCCAGGCAGGAAGGATAGGTGGGGCTACCGGACTAGGGCAAGGAGAATTCTGGGAAAGGTAGGCAGAAAGAGCCTGCCAAAGAGAGTTGCCATGTTGACCACAAAAAAGGAGTAACTGGTCCAGACATTCTCCTGCAAGCCAAGACCATATAGAAATACATAGATGAGTAGTTATGGGTTAATAATTAAGAGAGAGCTAGCCAATAAGAAGCCCTAGCTACCAGTCAACAGTTTAATAATTAGTATAGCTTCTCTATGTGTTTATGTGGGGTTGAAGGAGCTGTGAGACCAGGATGGCAGGAAAGAACCAATAGCAACAACTATTGGTTCAACAATTGCATCTAGAGCTGTAAACATTATTAATGAGGCATCAAAAGTTGCTTCCTTCAAAGATTTTCAAATCTGATGGCCACTGTTGCTCTTTCCCATCTCAAATTGGAGTTGATGCTATGTGAGTCAGCACTCTTCCAATGAAGGTAGTGTGACAGAGCAGAGTCAGAAAAAGACCTTTGCCGGAATTTCAGACTGAGAGACTGAGTGACTATAAGAAGTTAATGTTTCAGGTCAGTTTTCTCACTTTCACAAGTGCCAGTAATAAAAAAGAGTAAAACCTCTGGCTGAAGAGATGGCTCAGTCAATGAAGACCTGTATTTAGATCACCAGCACCCACATAAAAGCCAAGTGCAGGACTGTGTGGGTCTTCAACTTCAGCCCTGGGAGTGGGGAGAGGAGATGGTCAGATATCTGGAGCTCATTAGTCAAGCAGTGTGGCTCTAAGTTTAGTGAGAGACAGTGTCTCAAAAACGTAAGGTGAAGAGTAATTAAGGAAGACATCTCACACACACACACACACACACACACACACACACACACACACACACACACGCCTGTCATTATTCAGTACATGCTACCTGTCAATCACTAACTCACATCCAAGGCTATTAACTCATTTTATGTCCCCCCAGGCCATTTAAGGAAGTCCATAGTTAATATTAGAGAAAGCCATTTTTGACATGAGCAATACTTTACATACTTAACCCAGACAAATGTCATTCCTAACACATATTGGAAGACTCATTTCTCTCTTGCCCTTTCCCATCCTCAAGCGTCTTGAGGAAATCTCATAAACAGAGAGAACATTATTTCCTTCCACTAAGATAATCAGTGGTTAAGAGTGCTTGCTGCTCTTGGAGAGGACCAGAGTAAGCCAGGCAGGTCACAACTTGTGTCTATCCTCTCTGGCTTTTTCAGTCATCTGCATACTTGCACATATTCACACACATATACACAAACCCATACCTAAGTAAAAATAATTTAAAATTGATTTTTAAAAGCTGATTTCAACTGGTTATCCAATATCAAATGGTTTGCCTTGAAAATATATTTATAAGTGACATGTATTTAGGACTGTGTTGTGTGTTTGTATGTGTTTGTGTGCATGAGTGTGTGTGATATAACAGCAATTAATGAAAAAAGAGTCCATGCATTTGAAAGAGAGCCAGGTGGGGGAGCATATGAGACAGATGGTTTGGAGGGAGAAAAGAGAAAGAGGAAATGATAAAATTACATTATAATAGCAAATAGAAAAGAAATAGTATAAAAAGACAATTTCAGAGATGTTACCTGAAGCCATTATCTGTGTAAATGCCCCCTCTAAGCAGAGGAGAAGAGTCTCTATTGAAGCCCCAGGAATAAGGGAGGTAGGTGTGTAATGAAGTCCTTTAAGAAGAGTGATAGGTTTATGGTTGTCCTTTTGGGCCACTGAAGCTATCTTTTGCCAGTTTCCTAATGTACACACACACACACACACACACGTGTGTGTGTGTGTGTGTGTGTGTGTGTGTATATATATATAATTTTGTGGTAAAATGCACGTTTAAAAAAATCTACCTGATACTTTTTGCTGGTGCTATTGCTTGCATAAAAGGGCCACAAACCTCAGTTTTTGAGACAAGGTCTTGTCATGCCTTTCAGTCTAGTCTTAAACTCATTCTGTAACCCATGCCTGTCACAGATTTTTCTGCCCTGTCTTCCAAGAGCTGAGGTGACGAGGGTACACACCCAGCTTAAATTTTACCACTTGAAAAATTAAATGTCATTAAGTGCATTTAAAATGTTTTGCAACCATACCCCTATCTAATTCTAGAATTGTTACATCACTCAAAAGAAAACAAATTCCATACCCTTTGAGCAATAATTCTTTTCTCCCCCTCCATCATGCTCTGTACCCACTAACATGCTGTTTCTTCATGGGTATTCGTTATAAGCTGAATAATGCATCATATAACATTTTGGGTCTGGATTACTTTGTGCTGTGCCTTTAAAGTGTATCTGTCATACCATGTATTAGTTCTTCATTATTTTGTTTTACTTTTGGAGAGAGTCTCTTTGTATATCCTATAGAATAAAGACCTCAAACTTAGCCATCCTCATGCCATAGTATCCCAAAATGCTGTGATTACAAGATACCACAATTAGCATGTTTCATTCCTTTTTTATGTCTGAAACCTATATATCAAATGAAAGTATCACATTTTGGGTGTCCAATTTATTTGTTCAGTTTTCCTCAACTAGACACATGCTAGAGTTATCTGGAAAGAGGAAACCTCAACTGAGAAAGTGCCTTGATCAAATTGGCCGGGAGATCAGTCTGTGTGCCATTTTCTTGATTAGTAATAGATGTGGGAGGGCTGGAGAAATCGCTCAGAGGTTAATTAAGAACACTGGCTGCTCTTCCAGAGGCCTGAGTTCAATTTCCAGCAACCACATGGTGGCTCATAACCATGTATAATGAGATGTAGTGCCCTCTTCTGGCATACAGCAAAACACTGTATATGTAATAAATAAATAACTCTTTAAAAGAAAAAAAAATGATATAGGAGGTTTCAGCTTACTGTGTGTGGTGCCACCCTTCAGTGGTTAGACCTGTGTTGTATAAGAAAGCATGCTGAGCAATCCTCAAGTTCAAGTCAAAAAGCAGCATTTCTCCATGGCCTCTGCTTCAGCTTTTGCCTTCAGATTCCAACCTTGTCTTTTCTTCATTATGGAATATAAAATATTAACTGAAATAACCCTTTTTCTTCCCAAATTGCTGTTGGAAAGCAAACTTGGACGGGTTGTCTTTATATTCAACCTGTAATGGAAAATGCTGCTATAGAAATTTGCACAACTTTTTTTGAATACACGTTTTTTAACCATAACTTTTATTTAATCTTCAGCATCTGAATGCACAATCATCCTTACACTCTTGCCCTCATAACATCACGCAGCACAGACCTCCTGTGCCACCACGTCCTCTCCTTCTGTTCTTAACAGTCCAATGAGAACTGCCTGCTGGAATATTAACCCATCCTTTTGGCTTGATCTTGTACTGAAGTGTTGAACACAAATTTTATCTACATACTGTTCGCCCAGGTTTTGGTTTTGTCTGGCTTTATTTTGTTTTTTCCTCTTGCAAGTTAAGGATCTACATCAGCGAAATAGTTCCCCTATCTGATAAGCAGTTAACAACATGGGTAAGCATGTCAGGCAGTGGTGAGCTTGTGCTAGCTTGAGTGTGAGGTAGTGGGAAGGAAAATATATTGGGTATTGCAATAAAGGCAAGGAAAACTGTCTTTTTTGGCATGTTCAAAAAATAGGCCCTGAGGGTTAAAGCACTTGCATATAAGTGTGAAGACCAGAGTTTGAATTCCCAGAAACCCATGTAAATATCAGTTGGGCTCAGTGGCTCACCTACAATCTCAGTCTCAGAAGGGATAGAGAGCCAATCTACCTAACAAGGTTAGTCATTGCTGTGAGCTTTGAGTTTGACTGAGAGAACCTGTCTTGACGAATATGTTGGAAGAGTGGTAGAGTATGAAGTATGAAGCCTGACAGCAACCTCGGTGCTCCACATATATGCAGAAGCATTCACAAACATGCATCCACTCATACATGCTAAGAAAACACACACTCGTAGAAACTGGGAAAAATAAAGACAGGCATAGTGGCATATGTCCTTCATCCCAGCGCTCAAGAGAAAGAGGCAGGCAGATTTCCCTGAGATTACAGCTACTTTTGTCAATAGAGAGAGTTCTAGGCTAGAAAATGATGTATACTGAGACCCTGTATACTGATGTATACTGAGAAAAGAAAAAGTTAAGTAATAAATAAATAAATAAATAAATAAATAAATAAAAATATCCCTGTTTCTTAATGTTCTAGCAGTGAACAAGATGGACACCAACATCTCTCTCCTCATGAACCTCTCTGCAGTGAACTCCATGAATGTATCTGCAAGGACCCAGTCAGTATCTGCTGGCTACACTGCTCTGAATGTCTTCTCATATTTGATGTTTGCAATCACCTTTGTCCTTGGAGTGCTGGGCAATGGGCTCGTGATCTGGGTGGCCGGCTTCCGCATGGTACGCACAGTCACCACCATCTCTTACCTGAACCTGGCCGTGGCTGACTTCTGCTTCACCTCCACGTTGCCATTTTTCATCACTTCTAAGGCCATGGGAGGACAATGGCCATTTGGTTGGTTCATGTGCAAGTTCATATTTACCATAGTAGACATAAATCTGTTTGGAAGTGTCTTCCTGATCGCCCTCATTGCTCTAGACCGTTGTATTTGTGTCCTGCATCCGGTCTGGGCTCAGAACCACAGAACCGTAAGCCTGGCCAAGAAAGTAATTATCGGACCCTGGATTTGTGCTTTTCTCCTTACCTTGCCAGTTATCATTCGTGTGACCACAATCCCCAATAAACTTGGGCCAGGGAAAACAGCCTGCACGTTTGACTTTTCCCCCTGGACCGAAGATCCGGTAGAGAAGAAAAAGGTGGCCATCACCATGCTTACCATCAGAGGAATCATCAGGTTCATCGTTGGCTTCAGCACACCCATGTCCATTGTTGCCATTTGCTATGGGCTCATAGCCACTAAAATCCACAGGCAAGGCCTGATCAAATCCAGCCGTCCCCTGAGGGTCCTATCTTTTGTCGTGGCTGCCTTTTTCCTCTGCTGGTGCCCATTTCAGGTAGTGGCCCTCATATCCACAATCAGAGTCAGAGAACGCTTGAGTGGTATGATTCCAGGAATCACAACTGCAGTGAACGTCACAAGTTCCTTGGCCTTCTTCAACAGCTGCCTCAACCCAATTCTCTACGTCTTCATGGGCCAGGACTTCAGAGAGAGACTAATCCACTCCCTGCCTGCCAGTCTAGAGAGAGCCCTGAGTGAGGACTCAGCCCAAACCAGTGACACAGGCATCAACTTGGGCAACAATTCCTCTTTACCTTCTGAAGACAATGTACAGGCAAAGTAAAGAGAGGGCTCCAACTCAAGTTTTGTCTGCTTTGAGTTCCCCTGTGCTGTAATGGATATTCCCTTTTGACCTTTGAGCTACACACTCAACAGAAAAACTTGAGATGATTTTTTGGACTTTTGTTACCTCAACCCAAGCAGGTCAATAAAAAGACAAGAATAATATACATTTTCTTGTTAGTCTGAGATAGATACAAATGGCAGCTAGTGCTATAGCATTGTTACTAATACTATCCACTTCTAGTCCCCTCACAGGCTGTAAACATGCAAATTCTCATAAGTGTCATTCTGTGGGTAATAGGTGTATATTTCCCTTAGGTAATGAAGGAGGAAGGGGAGAGACTCCTAGCTCTTGAATTACACAATTTCCTGATCCCTTGTTTTGAAATATACCACTTACTGTCATAAGATCAGTGTTTTCTGGTGGTACACATTTTTAATTCCAGGACTTGGGAGGTTGAGGCAGGTAGATCTCTGTGAGTTTAAGGCCAGCCTGGTCTATCTACAAAGCGAGGAGTTCCAGGACAGGCTCCAAACCTTCAAAAAGAAACTATGTCTTGAAAAAAACAAACAAACAAACAAAAACAAAAAAAAATGTTTCCACTTATGTCTCTCAGTGTAGCTACAACCAAATTTACCCAGTTTGTACAGTACCTGGTATTCAAGTACCTGCTCCAAAGTGAATGACTCCGGAATGGTACTCCAAGTTTTATTCTCAGCTGCGGTGCCGCCCACCCACCTCACCACCTCACCCCCACACATGCCATAATTTGTTGTCATTTGTGTTCCTTTGGTCTTGGCCACTCTGACTAGAGTAAGGTGAAACCTAAAAATAGTTTTAATATGAAGTTTCCTGCTAGCTAAGGACTTTAAACATTTATTTAAATGTTTTGCAACCATTAGTAACTCGTCCTTTGAGAAATCTACCTTCTCTATTGCCTGCTTTTTAAGTGGGTTGCTTGTTTTCTTGATGTTTAGCATTTATTATTATTGTTGTTGTTGCTTTAGTTCTTTGTATATTTTAGATACTAACCTCTGTCCAATGTCCAACTGCTAAAGATTTTTTTCCATTCTGTAGACTGCCTCTATACTTGAGTGATGTTATTCTTTGTTGTATGGAAGTTTTTTAGTGTTATTTGGTTCCATTTTTTATTGTTAATCTGTACTTTAAGGTTCTATTTAAAAAGTCTTTCCTGATGCAATGAGTTCAAGTGTATTCCTTATTTTATTCTATATCAGATTCAGGGCAACATGTTTGATGTTATAGTCCCTGATCCAATTAGAGAGGAGTTTTTTACACAAATTGAAAATAAGGATACAGCTGTTTTTCTTCTACATGTGGCTGTCAAGTTTACCTAGCATCATTTGTTGAAGATGCTGTTTACTATAATGATTATTGTGGGAGCATGGACTTATATCTAGACCCTCAATTCAGTTTCAGTGATCAATGAGTTTGTTTTTAGGCCAGTAGCATGCCATTTTTATTAGATCTGTATAGATCTATAGCATAGTTATATAGTTCTAGGAGGTGCTATGCATGCCCCAAGAAAAGGAATCACCAGTCTTACCCATTTGTGAATACTGAGAACTACTGACAAGACATATCCATTGATACTATATTGGCATAAACATTATGAGATTAGCCAACCACTTTCTTATTGGATTTAAGACCCACTCCACAAATCAAAACCCATACCTGCCACCACTGTTGGAGCCAAGAGCCTACAACTAGAGAGTCATAGGCCCTCATGGAGAAGCTTCTGCTATTCTGCTAAACCAGACATAATGTTAACCAACTAGTAATGACTGTCATTCTACACATAGATTGGTACATTTCTCAACTCTCTCATTTTCTTGTAGATAATAGCAAATATAGAGACTCACAGTTGGTTAAGGTGTAGAGAACCACAGACTAATGAATGCTTAATCCTAAATTGAAAAATGTATATCACATACAACCCTCAGAACCCTCCCAAGGTTCAGGGATAATTATGAAACAGGTCACAGAAAGACTGTATGACCCATAGGTAGTAGCCAACTACAAGGAAATAGTGTTTTCTGGGCACAACAGGGCAGTTGAATACACAAATTCACAGGGGTTATGACGACAGTATGACCGTGCAAGGCCAAGCCAAACCAAATCCCAGTCTGAAAAGGAGAGCTGAGCATGAAATACCACACCAAGCTGAGGAGTTACTGATAACCGAAAGCTTGTGGGAGAGATGTCTTTGTTTGTTTGTTTTTAAGGGTATAGTTTCTGGTAAATCAACCATGCTCCACTGGAAGGCCACACATCAGAGAGTATGTGGGTAGCACCAACTATTGGATGGGTTTAAAAAAAATAATAAGAGGATAAAAAGCTAAGAAGATAGGAAAGAAGGAGTAGATCTGGGAGGAGTTGGATGAGTAGATTAATATGATCAAAATACATTGTATGAAATTCTCAAAGAACTAATAAAGAAATGGGAAAAAGAAAAATGCATCTGAGGATATCCTTGATTTGTGACCAAGTCAGACAGATGTGTAAATTACTCTGTGAAAGCCCTTTCTCTTCTCCTTCTTCTTCTTCTTCTTCTTCTTCTTCTTCTTCTTCTTCTTCTTCTTCTTCTTCTTCTTCTTCTTCTTCCTCTTCCTCCTCTTCCTCCTCCTCCTCTTCCTCCTCCTCTTCTTCTTCTTTTTGAGACAGGATTCCATGCATTCCAAGTAAAGATGACCTTTAACTTCTGTGTGCGTGCATGTGTACATGTATACGTGTCTGTGTCTGTGTCTGAGGTCTATAGATGCCAGAGGTCATTGGGTCATTGTCTGGTATGTTCCTCTATTGCTCTCCACCTTATTTCGAGAATGTGTTTCTCAGTGAAACCAGAGATTACCAACTTACTGGACTAGATGGCCAGTGTACTCTGCACTCTGGAGTTCTGCTTGTCTCAGCCATTCCTTGGTCTGGCATCATGGGTGTGCAATATCGTTCTTATCTTTTAAATGGGTTCTGAAGAGCTGAAATAAGGTCCCCATGTTTCCATAGCAAACACTTTGTCACCTGAACCACTCCCCCAGCCCATGAACATCCTGCCTGCATGTTAGTATTACAAACACATATTACCACACCTGGTTGGTGTGGTGCTAGGGATGAAATCCGTAGCTTCCAGCCTATCAGGAATTGTATCACTAGCCTGAGGCTACTGAGCTGTTAACCCAGAGTAATTAGCATCTATGGGCTGCTCTAACCCAGAGTATAGTATCAGAATATAATCAAATAGTACCACTCTGAGAAGACACACACGTACAAACCCTGGAGAATTGTTTAGGACATACATCTGTTTTCACATGTGCTATAAATAAATACATTTTCCTTTCAGTCCCCATGCCAAAGAAGAACAAAATTACCACCAAGGTGAAGCATACTGTGAGAAAGGGATCTTGGGTTATGGTGAACTTGGGAATATAAGGAGCTGAGGATTGAGGGGGAATGGGTGGTACCTCAGTTCTAGGTGGTTCTGTCTTAACCACTATTTGTATTGACACAATGAAACCCTTGTTATTTGAAAATCAAAAGGAAACATACTTCCTGTTACCCAAATAGTCCCAAGCCTACTCTCCCCCCACCTTTTTTTTTTTCTCTAAATTCTGTTCAGAAATCCCTGAAGATTGAGACATACTCCACAGATGACCGGAAAAACCCCAGAGTTAGATCAGGAGGATATAGTCTGTGTCTGAAATATATATTTCTTGAGTAGGGAATTTAAAAGACACAAAGACCTGAGGGTAGACTCCTGGGATTCAGTACTTCATCTCTCTGAGCTTCTGTCTTCTGGTTTGTAAAACAAGTGTTTGACCTGTAGGCAGGTCTGTAGGGCATTTTCTTAATTAATTATTGATGTGGGAGGGCCCACCCACTGTGTGCAGTGCCACCACTGGGCAAGTCATGTTGCATTGTATAACAGACAAGCTTTCAAGCTGGAGGGATCGCATAGTGGTTAACAGCATTTGACTGCTCTTGTAGAGGGCCTGAGTTATGTTTTCAGCTCCCACATGGTGATACACAAACATCTGTAATTCCAGTTCTAGAAGGTCCACTCACTCCTGGCCTCTGCAGGTACCAAGCACATGCATGTGGTGCACATACACACATGTAGACAAAACACTCATGTGGTGATTCATTGTTTACAATCTGATAGAGCCACTGAAAATCAGAATGCAAAGCCAGCCACACTAATTCGCCATGATCTTCAGCTCGAACCCCAATATCTGTCCCTGGATTTATGTGATTCATGTTATGCAAAATAAAATGAGTGAATTTTTAAAGAAGAGGGAGAAGAAGAGGCAATGGCAAGTTGAGCAAGCCATGCTGAGCAAGTAGGCTAGTAAGCAGCACTCCTCCATGGCCTTTGCCTCAGTTTCTGCCTCCAGACTCCTGCCTTGAGTTTTAGTCCTGAATCGTTTCCCCTCTTGGAGGACTAAAAGTTGTAAGATGGTGATTATGGTGCTTATCACAGCCACAGAAACCAACGAGGACAAAGAGTTTGCTGACAATCCCTCCCAGAGAAGACTGTATAATACAAAGGCAAAATTAATTGTTTTTCAGGGTGGAGGAGTAAATTGTCACTACGTTAGTTACTGCAGCTGTGACTCACAGACATAAAGTTATGAAAGATACTATGAACAAACATAGACATCCTAGGTATCTCCACCTACATAAAGCTAAAACATAAAGCAGCTAGGGGTCTACAAGATGGCTCAGTAGGGAGGGATGCATACTGCCAAGCCTTCTGTCCTAAGTTCAATCCCAGGAACTCACATGGTGGAAAAACAATTGATTCTTAAAAGCTCTTCACTGACCTCCATACATATCCATACATACATTGTGACACAGATACACACACACACACACACACACACACACACACACAACACACACGTCAATAAAAGGAGGAAAATAATCCATGCTCTGTAGCCTCTGGTTTATTTTGTTTTGTTTTAGGGCTATTTGGTTGGTTTTCTTATTTTTGTTTGATTTTTTTGTTTGTTTTTGTGTTGGGGGGATTGCAGTCAGGACAGAGAATGAAAATCTGGCCTCTTTGTATGGTGAAAAAAAAATGTCCTACTATCTACAATGAGCTACCCCCCCCCCAACCCTCACTGTGGATTCTAGGCAGGGATTCTACCACTGAGTCACCTTGGCCCCTCATTGGGAGGTTCTAGGTAGGGACTCTACCATCAAGTCATGCCCCAGACCCTCCCTGAGGATATATAGGGAATTTTCTGCTACTGAGCTACAGTTTGCAGCCCTTCTTATATTTTCCTTTTGTAATTAATTAATTAACTAACTAACTGGTCTTTGGTGACAGAGTCTCTCTATGCAGTCCTGGCTGTCACTGAGATCACAGATTGTCCTGCATTTGCCAGCTGAGTGGTAGGATAAAAGGTGTCTACTACCATACTTGGCTCTAGCCCCTTTTCTATTTTTATTTTTTTTTATTTTATTTCTTTTAATTTTCAGGTAGGATTTCACTAAGTTGTTCAGGATAGTCTTGAACTCATTCCTGGCTAGAATTTCCTATCCTTCTGCTTCAGCTGCCTAAATATCTGCAGGCTTGGCACAGATCAAATATTAGTAAGACAGGGCTTACATCCGAGATCGTTTAGGATGTAAACGTATAGGAAAATTAGGGCTGGCTTTTAGAATGATTTTGCATCTGAGAAAATAAGATGGGATGAACTGACACAGGGATCAGGAAAACTACTAAAAACCATTTCTGGGGGCTGAGATACTTCAGCAGGCAAAGACTCTTGTCACCAAGCCTGGCAACCGGAGTTCCACAGCAAGTATCCTTGGAAAGAACTAATTCCTTCCTTCAAGTTATCTCTATCCTCTGTGGCACTGTGTCTACTCATACAACAAGCCCCCAACACACAAATATATATATAATAACTTCCCATCCTTTCCTACCTCTTTGTTCATCTGAAAATCCAGAGGTACAGAGGGGAGGCTGGGAAGATGGCAACTGTGAAAACAGGAGTATCTGGGCATAAAGGATCTCTGTGCCAGGTATTTGAGGCATTTAAACTGCACCAGGGGTAGAGATGTCACATCTGACAAATTCACTCTAGCACCCTAATATTTCCGTGGATGGTGGGTGATCTTCCTACACCACAGAATAGGCAGAAGCCTTGATTTCTGGGAATCAGACATGAAAAAACCCCAAATTTCTCTTTCTTACACATGTGCTGGGAATGCCTCCCCAGTGAGGTTCTGTGATGGTTCACACCAAGTTGCAATGACATCTTTGTTATAATTTCAACATTTTCTTTTGTATCTCTTCTCTGTGCCCCCCCTTATCCTTGCATTCACAGTAAAACTTTGGAAGCATAATATGCATAGAAAATGCTGCACCTATTATTTATATGTTGTTCAATAAGATAAGTGAAAGACACACAAGAAGACATCTATATCAAATGTCCCAGACTCAGAGAGCATTGTGGAAGAGTAGGGAGGGGCTGAAAGAATGTTGGAACTGGAAGATGGGAAGGAGTGCTGTGAAATGCTGTCTTTACGGCATGGCTGCTGCAGGCATAAACACACAGCAGATATACTTACACATACTAGATCTATGGAAGATTATGCCAATGAAGAATTTCAACATGGAGTGGGAACGGGCTCCTGAAGCCATACCATGGCAGAGCAGCTATTGGTGGTAGATAGCTGCTAAGTAATGGAGAGTCGCTTTCCTTGCTCTTTAAAGATTTGCTTTATTTTATGTATCTGAGTGATTTCTTCATGTGCATCTGTGTACCATGTGTGTGCCTGGTGCCCACAGAAGTCAGAGGGTAGCACTGGATTCCCTGGAACTGGACTTACAGGTGGTTATGAGCAGCCATGAGTGTGCTGGAAATCGAACCCAGATCTTCTGGAAGAGCAGCCAGTGCCCTTAACTACTGAGCCATCTCTCTTAACTCTGTGCTATGCAGTTTAATATTTGTGGTTTGCTATTGTGACGTGATTATTGACCATAGCATTAGAAAATTTAAAGTTGACTCTGCAGATAATACTAAGTTGGTACAGTGCTTTCTTATTCACAAATTCCCAAGTTTCATCCCCAGAACCAAACAAGCCAGGCATGGTTGTGTACGTCTGTCATCCCAGCTCTCAGGAGATAAAATGGGAAAATCAGTTTAAAATCTTCTTCATCTACCTAAAGAGGTTTAGGCCATCCTAGGTTACATGAGACCCTGTGTCAAATGAAAGAAAAAAAGAGAGAAGAACACAGAAAGGGGAAGAGAGAAGAGGTGGGGGAAGTGAGGGAAAGAGACAGGGAGAAGAGAAACTTGAAACATTTTCTAAGAAACTCCCTCCCTCTCCCTCTCCCTCTCCCTTCCTTCCTCCCTCCCTCCCTCCCTCCCTCCCTCCCTCTCTCTCTCTCTCTCTCTCTCTCTCTCTCTCTCTCTCTCTCTCTTCCTCCTTCTTTCTCTCCCCTTCCCC